TATAATTGTGTTAAATATCACTTTTTATTTTTATTTTGCTCATTTCTTTGCCTGACTAAGTATCTTATTGTTACTACTTAGGGTGGCCGCACACAGAAAAAGCAGAACTGTTTTAGTCAAAAACGTTTTTGTTTCCAAAAGAAACATTTTGTTTTCAAGAGAAACAAAATGTTTGCACAAACCATACTGAAATCAGTTTTATTAGGGTGGCCGCACACGGAAAGAGCAAAACTGTTTTAGTCAAAAACGTTTTTGTTTGAAACGAAAACGTTTTTGTTTCCACAAGAAAACATTTTGTTTTCAAGAGAAACAAAATGTTTGCACAAACCATACTGCAATCAGTTTTATTAAAGATTTCAACAGATAACGACGAACGTTTTAGTCAAAATCGTTTTTGACTAAACGAGTCTTATGCTGATGTTTCCATATAAATTAAATGAGCTGACGCACACTAATTAGTCATCTGTCTAAAGCATGTTTAGGCTCATTTAGTTTCAGTCAGTCTGTTTGATGTTGATTACCAGATCGTCGTTTTGTGTCGAAACATTTCATTGTACGCAGGCGCAACGTGTTTTTGGAATTCCCTTCTTGAAACTGCTCGAGTAGTCAACAAGAAGCATATGTGGAAACAGAGATATTTTGCTTGTTTATATTGTGTGTATCATGGATGTGGACGCAAAAAAATTAATTGTACTGATTGAAGCCAGACCTCCTTTATATAACTATCAATTAAAAGACCCTTAATTGTTGAATGCAAAGATTGGAGAGTTTTTTTTAGCAGTTCTTTTCTCATTTATAGGATGTACCCAAAATTGTCTTTTATTTTGCGTTTTTTTCGTCCTTTCGGAGGAACCATGCCAGAAAACTAGTGTAATTTCGTCGTTATCTGTCGACATCTTAAAAAAAACTGATAGCAGTATGGTTCGTGCAAACATTTTGTTTCTCTTGAAAACAAAATGTTTCTTGTGGAAACAAAAACGTTTTCGTTTCAAACAAAAACGTTTTTGACTAAAACAGTTTTGCTCTTTCTGTGTGCGGCCACCCGTAATCAACATCAAACAGACTGACTGAAACTAAATGAGTCTAAACATGCTTTAGACACATGACTAATTAGTGTGCGTCAGCTCATTTAATTTATATGGAAACATCAGCATCAGACTCGTTTAGTCAAAAACAATTTTGACTAAAACAGTTTTGCTCTTTCTGTGTGCGGCCACCCTTACAGTACTTTAGTCAAAGCTAATCCAATTAACTGTTGGGCTTTCCATTTAGTGTTTGTTTTTGCAATAGGAGTATCCCATTTCCGATTTTTGAGATTCAAATAATTAAAAACAATGACGTCTGTTTTTTTGTGAATCATTTTTCTTTTTCTTTTGTTTATATCCTATTCACTTTTTATGAATCAAAAATAGAAAATATTCAATAAGATCAGTTTAGCATTTTTATGAGTATAAATCATTAAAAAAAATCTTGCAATGGCTAATAGAGTTTTATAATGTATTGAATAATATTGTAGAAAGGGAGAAGATATGAAAGATAATGAATATGCTTACGTTCCAAAGCGTAAAATCACTATTGCAATAACTTTAATATATATTGTTTAACGTTTGATTGATTGTGTTTAATTTACCTAACTTAATGGTAAAAAAGAGCTGTAGTTACTTTCATTCATAGTATAAACTGCAAAGTTACGATCTCAATAATATTTTTTTTTTCAAATAACTAGATAAATTCACATTCAGATGGCAGCGTTACAAAGATAGGCCTGTACTTTCTATATGCCAGAAATAACTATATTGTTGTCAGTTTTTAATCGTATAATATATCGTATTTAATCGTATTTATACCTACAATCGTACGTTATGGGCCGGCTCCTATAAAAGAATTATAATTTCGGAAATATTTATGAATGTGAAATGGAAAAATACTACATTTTTTTAATTATATAATTTTTCTGTTGGTATTTTAAAAATAGAAAGTTATATTTCGGAAATCTGGTCTTTTCGGAATTATATCTTCTGTTCAAAATTGTTTACAATTCGTGGAAATGAAATTAATTATTTGTATAATCCGTTTTTGATCTTAATGTCCTTTTAATGACACACTTTCTCTACCTGCATTTACAGTTACAGACATTAAAAAATAATTTAGAATTAAAAAAATATACCTATTTATAAATTCAAAATTATTGTCTAATGCCAGCAATTATAAATTCAGGTAAATACTTGAGAGTCATTAAAAGAATTTTCAGTTGATATCAGACGTTTGTGTCGTGTCAGTGTCAAAATGGCCGCGAGTGTAATAAAATTCAAAAACGGTAATTTGTTAAATAGTGAATGCAAAAAAATAGTGTTAAATGTTTTTAACTATTTATCAAACAGTAATAATGATAAAAGTGTATCAACAATAGTGCGGGAAGTTTCTGCTATGACTGGAGTCTCTGAGCGAACGATATTCCGATATAGAAGTGAAAGTAAAAATGGTCCACTCGTAACTCCTATAAGAAAAAAAAGAACCGGTTATTTGAATAGTCGTGAGAATAGATATGATGAAGCAACTCGGTCTAGAATAAGACAAGTAGTGCACGGTTTTTTTATGGACAATATTCCTCCAACCCTTGACGTAGTACTAGAAAAAATTAAGCAAATGGAGCATCTTCCGAATTTTTCCAAGAGTACGTTGAGAAGACTATTGCACGACATGGGTTTTATATATGGCAAACAAGGTAGAAATTCAATATTAATAGAAAAACAAGAAATAGTCGCTTGGAGGCGTCACTATCTCCGGGAAATAAAGAAACTGAGGAACGAAGGAGCCAATATCATTTATATGGACGAATCATGGGTTAATACTGGAATAACCAATGGGCAAGTATGGCAAGATACAACAATAAAAAATAGCCGACAGGCTTTCGTAAATGGACTTACCACAGGTTTAAAAACTCCGACCGGAAAAGGACCAAGATTTGTTTTAGTCCATGCAGGAAACAAAGACGGATTTGTTGAAGGTGCTGACATCACTTTTCTTGCCAAAAAAGGTGCTGAAGATTACCATGAAGAGATGGACGGAGATCTATTTGAAAAATGGTTTGAAGAGATGTTAATACCGAATCTCCCAAAAAATAAAAAGAATGTCATTATCTTGGACAATGCATCTTATCACTCTAGGAAATTAAATTTTCCCAAACAATATTGGGTGAAACGTCAAATTAAGGAGTGGCTCTATGAAAAGGACATTTATTTTGAAGAAGATTACTTAAAAAATGAACTTCTGGAAACTGCTAATGTATTTAAAAATATTTATGACAAATACAAAATTGATTGTATTGGTGAAAAATACAGGAATCACAGTGACGAACAATGCCGCGTAGATGTACATATCTTAAGACTTCCGCCTTATCACTGTGAACTGAACCCAATAGAAATGGTGTGGAGTGAAGTGAAACGGTACGTGTCCTCTAAGAATTCAAGTTTCAAACAAAACGACGTTAAAACATTGATTTATGAAGGTTATGATAAAGTACAGAACAATGGACATTGGAAAAATTACGTCAACCATGTTATAAAATTGGAGAATAATTTTTGGACAGTAGACAACATTCAAGATGACATTGAACCTATTAGAATTTCATTAAACGATGACTCTGAAGATGAACTAGATTATGAAAATGAAGATGATTGAAAATTGTTTTTCGGGGGTATTCTTTTCTCAGTAAAGGTAATAAAATATTTAGTTGATCTGGTTGAAATGTAGCACACTTAAATAACTCATTAATCGACATAATTTCAAGTAGTTATATTAGACGTCATTATGCAAAAAATAAAGTTATGAACATTTAATAAATTAGTGCACAATTGAGGCCCCTAGAACACAAAGGGTGTAAGTGCCAAAAACAAAGTTTTGAAAATCTTTGTTCAAAGTTCGATATAAATTTAAAAACCTAGGTAGCACTTTTTCAGTTTTCAGCATGTTTTCAATGACATGTAATTTTTGATGGTGTTATTGTTGTTAATGTAGAAAGTTTGAAGCCAAAAGTACGTGCCTGTTGTTAGATATCAGTTGCTAAGTGATAAGCAACTGCACTTACACCCTTGTGTTCTAGGGGCCTCAATTAGGGGTTTTTTGCAATTATCTCAGTCATTTGTTTATGTATTTTAATTTACAAACTAAAAAATTAAAAAACTTTTTAAGATCTGCAACATTTATTTGAAACATTTTTCCCTAAAATGCACGAGGAACAAAATAGGCAAAAAAATGATTTTTTCCAAACTTCATCTTTCTTTAAAAAATAAACAAAGCAAAATTGGCTGTAATTCTTCAAGGAATTATCATCAGTTATCCCTTATCTACCGTTTAGAACATTAAAAAACCTGTAGAATATTTTTCATATTTTTTTCCCTATTAACTGCGGTATTATGTATAAAAGCATTTTAGGAATTATTATACCATTTATTTCATTCACGAATTTTCTATTAACAACTTTAGCTTACCTAAACATATCTTAGTTTACCGTGAGTTTGGCCCTGCTTATTTTACAAAAGTAGCAAAACTTACAATGGCAGTAGAATTGGCAACGCTGTTATCCTATATCCGTACACTGCCATCTGAACGTGACTTTATCTATAGTATATATTATTTATATTGAAAGCATGTTATACATCACTTTAAAATAGTGTAGGTCTAGGTACTTGATTTATCCATTTTTATTTAGTAAATACGTTTTGGTGACTTATGTTTTTTTAGAAACGAGCGATTTAATTATTCTCAGCCTACACATGCTTAAAATAAAATTCTTGTTGAAATTACTGCGATGTAAATTGCCTCCAACTATTAAACACGATAGAAACTACAATAAAATTGACTAAACTCCAAATATTTGTTACATGTATTGTAAGTTTCTTATAAGTGCGTCGAATCTATCAAGGAGTATCTTACGTTACTATTTCGCAACTACACCAATTTATTTATCTGTACAATTCGGATGCCATCGAAAGCATCGTTCAATGGAGTCTTATATGCCTCTTCAAATGGCTTCTTCTCACAAATCCTTTGTCACAAGTGCTGCATTTATATGGCCGCTCTCCGGCATGCATCATCTCGTGTATCTTTAGCGAATGGTTCGTTCTGAAAGCTTTAGTACATTGTGTGCATTCGAATGGCTTCACACCCCTGAAAAATTATAAACGGTATAAAATTGTACTTAAAACAAGACGTTTCTAATCATAAATTACATACAATCCTCAAAAAAGTAACTAGAATAGTCTATGGAATAGACCTTATACAGGAAACTCTTTTATCTAAATGCGTAATAATACACAGGGGAGCTCTATTAGGTGAATTAGGCATATCTAAAAATCCCTTATACTAAATTTTTAAATATTAATATGTCAAGTTTCTCTAAGACTCCTAATTGGATCTCCCATAGAATCGCCCTGTATATACGTCTATTACATCCGTGGATATTAATCAAGACAAAATCGTTGATTAGTGATTTGTATTAATACCAGGTGTCTTTAAGGGGTATCAAATTTTAAGTTGGCAATACTGTTTAATAGCAGCAATTTTGACAACTGTCAAGTGTTTTACGTTTAGTTTGGCTTGCCTTTTCAACATGGATAGACTTATTCCTGAACAAAGCTTCCAAAGAACTTCCATAATTATAGTTTATTCATCTTCCGGGTTTGGACCGTGTCATTTGTGAGTGACCCAAAAGTGGGTTCATCTCGACGTTTCGCTACAATTGAATGTAGCTTCTTCAGGAGAACAAAGAAAAAGAAAAAGAAGACAGGAAGATGGGTAGTTAGCAACGCTAACTCAGTTACTCAACGCAACCAGAGGCGAATACTAACTACCAAGATGGGCATTTGGTCACAGTAACTCAACTACTCAACGCAGCCAGAGGTGAAAACCAAATGCCAGGATAGGGATTCACGTCCAACAGCTCAGAAACACTAACGCGTCGAGAGGCGGGGAGTGAATCCGACTGAAGACTACAACTTCCCATAGTTTGACAGTTTTTTTTTACTCTTCGGACTTTAGTCTTCGCTCTATACTTTTGAATGTATTTCTATTGTCCTTGCCTCATCGGGCCATCTTTTTCTAGATCGTCCTAGACTTCTTTTATTTGCCAACTCCATTTCTCTTAATTACTTTGGTACTCTTTCTTCATTCATTCTTTACAATTGGCCTAACCATCTCAGACCCGCTGTTTTGGCTACTTGAACAATTTTAGGTTCCCATAGAAATTCATTACCTACTTTGGTATCAGCTTATCTTTATTAGGTAGGTAGGTCACCTTATTGACTATCACTTTAAACTTTTATTTCCGATACGTTCATTTTTCCTCTTCTGTTTGGGCTAAAGATGGACTAATTTTGCTTTTCTTGAATCATTTTTTGATGTAAGTATCTTAATTATCGCCCGAATTATCGAATTATCAGGATATTTGATGAAGATTTAACCATAACTCCTCCAGAAGTTGCAGAAACTACAAATAAAGCGACTTAATCATATTGCTCGGAAGGAATAGACCGTTGTATTAAAGAACTTGATCCGAATTGATTGTGGTACAATGAAATAAATACTACACATAATTCGGAATCCTGGTGAATCTACACAATCTAAGTCTCTCAGTTATCTCAATAATGATTGAATATGACATTAAAACTTGTTTCTAAGCAAAAAGCCATACCAATTTGTCAGGTTTCTTACTTACTTGTGTATGTTCAGATGATGCTGCAACGTGGCATTAACAGTAAACTTTTTATCACATAGATTGCAGCTAAACGGTTTCTCTCCAGTATGGCTCAAAAGATGAACCTTCAAGTATGCTTCTGAATGAACCTCTTTACCGCATTCTGGACAAAGACATCTAAAAATAAACAATGTAGTAATGTTAAAAAGGGCATAACAACAATTTGTTTTCACGAATTATTTAACTTGTAGTCTTTGGGTATGTGATTTGAATTATATATTTTCAAGCATAATTATTATTAGAATGACTAACTGTTGCTCTCTTAATTTGAATACTTCCGGTAAGTATTTATTTTTAAGCTAATGAGAAAAGTAGTAGTATTTTCCAATATACAAATTGTCATTATACTACATGAGTCTGGCTATAGTTCCGTCGAACGGAAACTTATTTGTATATTTTCGAGATTATTTATTATTATTATTTTAAAATATGCCTGGAAAAACGCTAAATTCCCAAGCGCACCAACTTATGTTAAATTTATATGAATATTTTGAGTTAGAAAGAAGTAATGGAGGACCTTTGGAGCCTTTTACATCTGTTCAAGAGGTAAAATATTAAATGTATGATTGTTAATCAGTTACTAATAAATATTAATTTTTAATAGGGTTGCCACTGCTTTGAAAATATCAAGGCGGACAATATATTTGATAAAAAAAAAGGAAAGAAAACAATCCTGTCCTGTTATATCTATTATACAAAGCATTTCTCATGGTATTGAGTTCATCTGTCATCTGTTCATAAGTCGGGTGACTGAGGGGGCCATTTTATTGTACCGTCTGTACTAATCACACGTTCAGCAAAAATCAACGCTAAATAGTCTCTAATAGCTTTTGTATTATGTGCAAATAATTTGATTTTGCAGTACTTGGAGATATTTGACTGCGTTTTAAATTGCTTTAATGAAAAAAGGACCAATACTATAGTCTCCCAATTCCAGTCCGAACATTCAATTCATTCAATTCAATTCAATTCCGAATTCAATTTACAATTGAAGAGAACAGACGAATGGCGATGTTGCCAAAATTATCTTGTTTTATTAGAAATTAGGTTACAATTTCGTCAAATAAAAATGCGAATCTGTAAATTTCTGATGGATTTAAGAAATTTTGTACCAGTATTTGTGTCAATTAGTGTTTCATTTTTTATTATCATCCAGTTTTAAATGGCAATATAACCGCGCCACTGATCGCCAACTTTTTGAATCAATTCAATGTATTAATTCAAATATGTAATACGGCAACCCTGCCGCTGTTTCTTACGTATAAGCTGGATCGGAAATAATCGTCTGGTGTTCACTAATGAGCACGCATGAGGAATGTGGAGGGAAACCAAGGGAAAATATGATTGTTATCTGTCTATTCGTTGAGAATATGATTTTATATCTGCGTTAGATATCATGTTAAATTCTACTCTACCGACCATAAACTTTTACCTACACCGTATAAACTTGTTTAAGATTAGAAACTGTGTGGTATATATTTAAGGATATTCTAAAAACTAACTTACTTTTTGGCCTCTTTCTTCCAACGTCCTTTGTCCCCCATCAGGTAGTAACGTAAATGTTTTCTTAGATATTCTCTGTCTTTGAATCTTCGACCGCAATGGAAACATAGATGCGGATCTACACCTTCTTCATGACATCGAATGTGATCCGTTAGTTTTTCTTTTCGCGTAAATGTTTTGCCGCAAAGATTACACTAAATATAAAACATAAATGTACAGACTATTATAACTTTCCAAACAACTGCTACAAATTTATTTAAATATTCATTATTAAGGAGAGATTTTTAGATAACTACATTACTTACTTGGTATGGTCTTTCCTTTGTATGAACTAGTTTGTGTCTGCTTAATGCTTGTCTTTGTGTAAATCCTGACCCACAAATTTGACATGTGTACGGTTTTATATTATCATGGATTGCCATATGATTTCTTAAATATTCTCTTCGCTTAAACTCTTTACCGCACAAATTGCATAAACAGAGCTCCATTCTAAAACAATTAAGAGTATATATATATATATATATATATATATATATATATATAATATATATATATATATATATATACAGCAAAGCAATATTGATATTGAGACAATCTGCAATCAAAATCTCAATGTGTATGAATTTAAGTCGAAACACAAATTCAATATTTGCTCAGTATTTTAAAATGCGTCACCCTGTATTTTATATCACCATCATAAACTTAAGTCAATGCAGTTTAATTTGTCCAAAGTATTTCCTGTGCTTATACTTTTTAGTTATAGAGATATTTTAAATTGTAGTAGAAAAAGGGATCACAAAAGTTGGTCACCCTGTATATAGATTGTTCATATTAAAGAAAAATATGCAAAAATACTAATTTAGTCAAAATATCAAAACAAGAAAGTAGAAAGAGAGTACTTACCTTTTCTTCTTTACTTTAGGAACATCTGCTTTCACCTCTTCCTGTGGCTCCGTAGACACTGCCACTTCCTTCTTCGGCTCATCTTCGACACTTATAGCTTCATTTTCATCTTTGTCCCTGGTACTGCCGGTACTACTGCTGCAGATTCAGATGCCGTTTGATTATCGTCAAAATATATCATTTTATCCCGCTCAGTTATTATGGAAGAATGCTCTTTTGTAGTTACTTTCGGATGAACTTTTTTGATGTGTTGAATTATTTGATTTTTTCTGACAAATAATTTACCACACAAATTGCACTGGAAGGGTTTTTCGCCTAAAAAAAAATTTTAAAAATTCTTAGTTAGTATCTTTTCTACACACGGGTGATTGATTAGTATGAGGAAGCTCAATAGATCTGTCATAGTTAAAAATATAGTGATAAATATATGAAATATACAAAAAAAAGTTATTTACAAAAAATTGTAGATAGCTTTAAACTCTGTATTTTAATATTAGTTATAATCTTACAGTGTGTTTCATAACGGTGTGCCAGATCAAAGTTATATATCTTTTAAATGGGACACCATATATTTTATTCTAAATTTAAAATCTACTTCACTTTTCATCACAGCAATATTACATTGCTGTTTCATTCATTCATTCTCTGTATGCACTTCTGAGATCCTATCTTACCAATCGATATTTCCAGGTCAGATACAATGAAGCAGTATCTCCAATTTTATCGGGAGTACCACAAGAGTAAACAGCACAATTGCTACCTATGCAAATTATACTGTGATAATGGCTTCTAAAATAGCTCATAGCTAATAGCTTATATACCTATATTATTATGGCAAAAAAATAACCCTAAATACTTTTTCTCCTAAATTTTTCTGCACAAAATAAGTCCAAAATGCAGGTGGTGAACATTCAGCTGGATTGTACGGGTAACATTCGGCTACTGGCTATTAAAGCAGTATTATCTAAATGCCTTCTCTTCATGATAGTTCTTGGGGCAAAGTAACGCAGTGGAGCCCCACTTCCTTCTGCGTGGTAGAAAATAGTTTAGAGTAAGGAAAGAAAAATAGTGACCCGTCCGCCCTCGGAAACCTAATAGCCAATCGGGGTCAGAAAAACAAGAGTTGGCCAAGAGAGGCTGATAGGAAAGATAAAAGACACTTTACTCAAAGACTAGTTGAAGAAGAGTAAAATGTGAAGGTTCTCATGCAGCGCCAGATGCGCTTCATGAGAGTATGAATATTAGTACACCCTTGTGTTCCCGCTCATACATCGGGGTTCTGACTATAGGCAGTATAGCTCGTCCAGCATGCTATAGCAAGAAGAAGAGAGTGCACACCATCTCATATGTAGAAACTAGTACACACCATCCCCATGGCCTGACTAACGATGGCCTTAAAATAAACAGGGATAAAACGAGAATCATGATAATTGACAGAGCTAACAACAATCAAAATCATCTGGTTAGGATAAACAATATCGCTGTTGTAGATAAATTTGTGTATCTGGGCTCATTAATAACCAACAAAGGAGGCTGTACTGAAGAAATAAAGCGGCGGTCAGCAATCGCAAAAAGCGCTATGGCAAAATTAACAAAAATTTGGAAAAGCCATGAAATTACTACCGATACAAAAATGAGACTAGTAAGAAGTCTAGTTTTTCCAGTTTTTACTTATGCATCGGAATGCTGGACCCTTACTGAGAAAGACAAAAAGAACATAGATGTATTTGAGATGTACTGCTGGAGACGAATGCTGAGAATACCATGGGTGGCCCGAAGAACAAATGAATCCATACTGGTCCAGCTAAACATAAAGAAAAGACTAAGAACACAAATAACAGAACAGATAATAAGCTATTTTGGACATGTGCTTCGAAGAAATGGTCTTGAAAAACTTACCATCCAGGGAAAAGTAGAAGGCAAAAGAAGTAGAGGTAGATCTCACTACACGATACACGGACCATATTGTTGCTACCATTGGCGCTCCATTGTCAGAATGTGCTAGATTGGCAGAAGATAGACAAACGTGGAGGAACATTGGAAAAATTACCTAACAGCTTCATGATATCACGATACCTGCATCAGGTTAACGACTAAGAAGAAGAAGATCTAAATGCCTTAGTATGTATAAAGCTGCCCAAGAATATAGTGTGAAACGACAAACAACACAATAACATATAAAAATTCTTCTAAAGAAGAAATCAAAGAAGAGATTCTGGCTGCCTGTGAGGATCTGGTAAGGAAGTGAGGAAGATGTGTCGTTTTCAAGCAAATATACATCAAGACAAATATTTACAAAAGTTCAAGAAGAACAACTTGTATATTACATAAAAACTATTCTAAGTTGAATTATGAGTTAAACTACAAGCAAATACGAAGTCTTGCCTTCGATTATGTCAATTCCATACCGCGATGTAAGGTGCCAATGTCTTGGAATCTTAACAAGATCGCAGGTTTATGCCATATGATTATTATAATAATTGTTTTATATTAAAAGTTCCTCTTTTAGGTCTTGACTGGTTAAGAGGCTTTATGAAACAGCATGAAATGATATATCTTTATGCAAGCTACAGAACACAAGCATCAGCAGGGCAATAAACCTATCGTTGATGAGTTTTTCTCCAGATACATATGCATTTTTGAAAAGTCTATGTTTAGACCGGAAGAAATATGGAACTTAGATGAAACTGGCTTGACGATAGTAATGTCTCCTACGAGGGTTGTTGATCCTAAGGGTAAAAAGCAAGTTGCACATATATATTTCTCAAGAGAGGGGGAAACTTGTTACTTTTGTTGGTATTGCAAATCCAGCAGTAGGAACAGTTCCACCGGTTTTTGTATTCTCCCGAAGAAGAAACCTAGTAGAATACTTAGGAGGTGAATATCCAGAATAAGCTATTGCTTTTGGAAACAAAAGGGGATGGATTATATCAGAAGTTTTTTCTGGAGTAATAAAATACTTCGTCAGTCATGTGAAATGTACTCAACAAAATTGGCTTTTGCTGCTTGTGAATAACCATAAGTGCCAGATTTCTGTGGAAGTCATAAGACTGTGTCGAGAAAATGGAATTGTACTGCTGTCGATCCTCCCTCATACCACTCACAGGTTGCAGCCTTTGGACGTTGGAGTCTACGGCCCTTTTAAAACGTATCTAGCAGCTGCGCATCATGACTGGCTGCTAACAAATCTAGCTAAGGTCATAACAATTAGACATTTAGGTGCTCTGGCAAAACATGCGCATGAAAGTACTTTTTGTATTAAAAACATTACAATTTCCTTAAAAAATACTGGACTTTGACCTTTAAACCACCAAAATGTAACGAGAGGCGGATTTTATAACATGCGAAGTTACCAACAAACCACTAGCTGAGAATCAAGTCAGAAATTAATGCATCCACTGAAAATGGTGATGGCTCTGTTCTCAAAGAATTAACTCCCCCACCTTTTGTAGAAAACTTAAAGAGTAATTCTTCCGTTGGATTCTCTGTGAAATCAAATACTCTCGTTTACAGAGAATCAACCCCAACAGCTCCGGCAGAAATGCAAAACCCTACTCTCGGGGAAATACAGGTTCCAGTAACCTCTACTCCAAATCCTTTGTGTTTAGATAAAATCAGACTCTTCCCAAAAGCAAATGTCGAAATTAAGAAAAAAAGTTATTCCGGAAAATCTAAGTCAACAATATATACTGACACGTCTGAGTATGAAAACAGACAAATTTTAAAAAAGAGAGGAAAAGAAAAAAATTAATAAAAGCGAAAAAAATCAATTAAAAGAGATTCGGTAAGAAGCAGTGCCAAAAGAAATATATCCAATTTCAAGTGAATCGAAGTATTAAATCTTTTGTTAGATGATCGTCTGACAAGATTTTTGCCGATTTGAACTTTATTTCTGACACGAATATCTTTCTATAGAATGCCTTTATACTTGTAAGATGCCGATTTTGTAGTTAAATTCTTACGAAAAAAAGCAAATAACAGTTTTTTGTTTCCTGATATTGATGATATTTCAGTTATAGAAAAAAAGGATATTGCAGCAGTGTTACCGACCCTAATCAGTAAAGGAACTTCAAGAACTTCGAATGTGTTTAAGTTCAATGTTAACTTTTCGTCTTTAATTGTAAGATAAATTTTTGACCACATTAATGACGATTAATTTTAGTTTACTTACCTACTATACAGTTTGGTGTTTATTATTATTTGGTGTTTTATTTTATTATTACAATGGTAATAAAAAACCTTTGTTTACTTATTTTAATGTATTTTTTTGTATCAAATAAGCAACTTTTAACAAACCAGACTAAGGGTCGAATCATCCCTACCTTGTAGATGAATGTTCCCAGCAGTGGTTATCATTCAGCAATATGTAAGAAAATCTATAAATTTTCTATATTTGCTTATAGAAAATTAGTGAATTAGTAACATAAAATATGTATAAAATAATATCCCCCATTAATACTCAAAAGTGGAACATTATTAGCTATATTTTAGATTTTGATCCCCAAGTCAAATGTTCCGAATGACCCCTACTTTCCCCTATTTACCCTATTTTGCTTAATATTACAAAGCAGAATAATAATTTCATTATTTAGAGGGGCAGAAGTTTTATTCTTTCAGATTTGCTCTATGGATTTATGCCAAAGATCAAAAATGTTTAATCAAGTTATTTTTGTAAAAAGTAAAATGATTATTTAAATAAATTATCTATTATAAAATAGTGCCATATTGTATTGTATTGTACAGTTAATAATATTTACCTGTGTGTGTTAACATATGCCTATCAAGGGTTGATTTCTGGGTAAACTTCTTATCACATCCTTTACACTCATATGGCTTGATCCCTAGATGTATTTTCATATGCCTCCCCAATGCCCCATATCTTGAAAATTTTTTCCCACATGTTTCACAACGACAATTCTCTACCCTTGATTTACTTGAATTTCCATTTTTTACAGATTTCCTCGATTTTGTTGGTCTGCAAATATTTAATTCTTTAAAATAATGAATGCAATTCTGTCAATATTATTATTGATTTTTTATTGAGAAAGCGAAAAGAACTTGCAAATATTGCTAATATTAATGTTGAAGAAAAAAACAATATGTGGAGCATCAAACTAAAGTGATGGTAAAAATTAAGTTGTCAGATAAATATACCAAGTTGATGTTCAACATTAGCAGTTTAATAAGTAGCAAGATTTGATAGTTGTGAAACTTGGTAATCTACTTACAAACACCAAAATATTAAAAATATCAATACAGAGCATTTTGACAAAACATATAAACAAACATTGAAAAGGTAATGGGAAAATTAAAGAAAAAATATTGATCCATCAGAACTGATACTGTAAGAAAGTACTAAAGCTCCAAAACTACGTACATTATCCTTTAGGTAAGTCTATAGCTGTACATTGATGTAATGGTTGCAAGGACAGTTTTTGTTTGGTGTTAGTGCTACAGGAACCATTGTACGACCAGAAAGAATAAGAGACTATCTTAGACACCTTTAGTACAATGTTCCTTTGAAATTACCTCTGGAAAAGAACACTGTGTTGAGCCCTCTGCAACCACTTTCTGCCACCAGTTTCATTAATCAAAAGAAAAACAAATCCTTTATTTAGAAATTGATTATTTTCACATGTACCCTGCATATGGACAAATAATGTATTCCAGTCAAAAATATTCAATGGCTAGAAGAAAATATAACCTTGGTAGCAACAAAAAACACCCTTAACACAAATAATTTAAGAAAACTGTGTTCATGTGCCAATTACTTAAAAAAACTTCACTTTATTGTAAAAAAAAAAACTAGAAAATTCTTTATTTTTCTAATACTGTTGTTTTATTCATTTCTTTACACAATTACTAAAATTTTACCACTTAAATTGTGAAATATAGACTTACTTAAATTCATCATCTTCATTGTCATCATCTTCACTATCATCATATTTACCATCATCAGGAAAGTAATCATCATCACTTTCTTTTCCTTTGGTTGTTAACCATTTTTCTAAATATTGTAAACTATTTTTACAAGTCTGTATAAAGCTAGAGATGTCCTGGAGTTTGTTTAAACATTGCGTACACACAAACTGAGGGAATTTATCTTCTTCTTCAACCTTAAAATATAATTCAAAAATCAATATATCATTCGAAATATAATTCAAAAATTGTAGTACAGAATATGGGCAACAGAACAGTGAGACAGTAGGTGAAAGTTAAATTATACATGGTATGGGGGGATGAATGTAATAAATCACTGTAACAGGTCACTCCTTAGATGTAAATATTTATAGGTGTGCATTTTATTACATTAATTTTTTATGGAAAGGTATATAAGGAAGGCTTAAACAATAATCAATGATGAAAAACATAGCATAAGAATAAAAGTACATTTCTTTTATTTTAATAATGGAATTCCCACTTTGGATAAAATTTTCTATGCAATGAAAACAATATTCCTTAAATAAGAAGAAAAACCTTTGAAAAATTATATAAGAATTAACCTTAAGTTGGTAAAGCATGATCAAAGGTCTTAACTACTCAACAAGATGAAATTATATATCGATAGTGAAATTATTTAAGAAAAATAAAAGAATTATTCAATCAAATTAAGAAATTATAATATAGCCAATTAATCAAATAGACCATGGGCAAAGAAGATAAACATATGAAAGCACCAAAGATAGTTGAAAGCATACAATAATTTAAAATGAAACAAGTAAAATGTACAACAATAAAACATACTATACAAAAGTGAAAGGATATAAAGATGAACTATTAGAGAATGACAATATTATGAAAATATTCAAAGAGCACCTCGAAGAGAAATTTATAAGTCAAAAAATGGTATAGGGTATAAAAAGCAGATGGAAATCAGCTTAAAAGAATTATTATTATCAACACACACTTACTGGAAAGATTGTAAGAGATCAGTTAATGATCAAAATTAGAGCAGAATACATAGCTTAAGGTCATTCGCGCAACTAGGGCATATTTTGATAAATTCATAGCTGGAAACCTTAGTTGTCAGTAATTCGTAAAGTTCTATTTTATTTACAATTTAGTTTGTTTACTATTAATATTGACTATGAGTACTTTTAGTCTGTCAAAAATAACTGATTTCGCAAAAAAATAATTACTAAATTCACTAGACAGTTCGGACATGGAATAGCAAACCAAATATACAATACACAATGTATAAAGTAGAGAAGCAAAATGCTGAAAAAAGATGGGATATGAAGGAGATACAAATAATACTGAAGAAGAAAGATTAACCACGAATTTTGACAATGAACAAAACTAATTAGATGTTAATAAAATTGACTCAAAATTTAGATATAAATACAGATAAACTAAACTAGATAAATACTCACAATAACCAACTGAGAGTCAAACAGCCTTTATATATTGTCCAAAAAAGGGGTAAAATAACAGTAGGAGTCAAGTGTTTTATCATAAGAGGTAACAGATAATACTGATTATAAGTCAAGCAAACAGTTTTAGAAAGAATTTTTGGATAAATTATATAGCAAAAATTGAAAGTGTTATTTCATTTACCTTTAATTCAGTTAATTGGTTGTATATATCATACAAAGAGGACTTTAATTCTGCCTTTACATTATCTGAACCCAAACAAGCTCGACACAGAGTAGCTATATCCGTATTTTTCGGGATTTCTCTTGTATCCATATTTCACATCAGGCAAAGAAGCTATTTAACTCAAACAAATACAATAGAAATTATTGTCGGTATATCATCTCATCATAAACAAATAAGTTGTACATAAATGTTTTGACAATAATTGTCAAAATTGCCGACTGACAATGAGACAATGACAATAATGACTAAGTGGTACATAAACTAAATTATGCAGAATTATGTAACCAACAATACTGAGTGTGATAGATAGGTCATTGGAAATAAAAATAATCCCAATTGAACATTTACAACGACCAACAAAACCGACGTCATGCTACAATTACAAATATTACAAACCTTATAAAATCAAAACCGTTACCTATTAAAATAATTTACAAACTAAATTTGAACAAAAACAAGAAATTGTGTAGTGCAGTTTTTCGCGGTAGATGTTTTATAATAAATCGTTGTTTCTTAGTTTGTAGGCATTCCTCTTAAATTGTTTTTTCCTGACGTTTCGACTACAACTGCGGTTAGCATTATTAAATTCTTTGTAACAGGCGTAACGTTTGGTCGGTAGTTGACCATCTTTCTGTAGCATCTGCTCTATTTCTGTCCCAGGATCTATCAGTTGGTCCGAATCCATATGGATTGGAGGTCACTATGTTAACTACATACTATATGAGAGACTTAGAACATTAATAAATAGAGCGTCGTAGAGAGAACAAATCGAGGAACCTCACTACGAGACAGGGTTGATCCCTGTTTTAGTGTTTATGGATTATTTCAGACCATAATAGTTATTTTCTTAATTTCACTAAACAGGTTCATAATGTGGTTATCTCCTTCCACTAGGTGTTCACCTAGAATTTCTTTCTTGTAGAACAAATAAGGTAGATCAGTTCTTGTAAAACACTAGTGCGGTTCAAGAACCCCTGTCCATGAGGGTTATCTACTTGATCCCCATTAGGGGGCTACTTGATCCCTGGGATAAAGTATCCCACCTATGATGCATAGCATAAGTAATCATTGTCAATTATAAAAGGTAATTAAATGAAACAATGAAACAAATTAAACTACCTATTTTATTAAATAAAAACATAAAATACAAAAATAAATTGAGCCCAAAAAGAAAAATTATTTAGAAAACATTTAAATTTTATAATGTCAGCAGTCCTGGCCGTTCTGCTGATGAGGCTGCGGCAGCTTTTGTACGTCTGTCCGGTCCACTTCGTTGACGTCCTCTACTGTTGGAAAAGTGAAACAGCTTTCTTCTAGTCCCTTCCGCATTAAGAATTTAACTTCCAATGTATTTTCTATCAGGCACAAAACTGTTCCAACATAAAACTTCATTGTTTTTTTAGTACAAAACTTGACTAAAACGTAGTCGTCTGGCTCAGGATCCGTGTCATCAATAAGCTCATCATCTAAAAGGAAAACAGAGCCACCGCTGCTATCTGGAAGGCTGGGAAGATCATCCTCCTCTTCACCAGTCGAATCGAAAAGTTCAGTGTTTCTAAGTGTTGGAAATTTTTCTGCTTTTTTCTTATTGATTGCGGCGTTCTTAAGAGCAAGTTCTTTAATTTCCGCTTTTTCAGAGGTATCAGTTAGGATGCGAGAGCGCCCGCGTTTTCTACCTCGAGAAGATTGGGTCGAGGTGCTGCTTGGATAGGACATGATGTCTTGTGAAGAAAAATGTTTCACAGACATTCTATCCGATGTTGGAGTGCAAGGTTTTAGGGCCCTAGACAATGTTGGTTCTATAGAAATTGATGTACTAGCACTAAGCGTTGGCTGTATTGGAGCCAGAACTGATTCCTGGTCATAAATTCGTCGTCAGTAAATATGTTTGGATTTATCGGCCATATTCCAGATACTTTGAACCCACTTATGATATTTGAAGAAGCCATGGCTCAGGGAACGCATCTCCAAGCAGTTCTGCAATGTCGTAAATGGTAATAGTTTTCCCGGGAAATTTAAGCATAAAATTGGAAGCAGGTTCGGAGTAGTAAGTCTTTAGTGGTCCAAAAACCGCGCGGTCCAATGGCTGCAACTTATGAGAGGTGTGCGGTGGAATTGTAAGAAATACGATGCCGTTGTCTATCGCATAATTTACAGCCTTCAATGAGCAGTGGCTCTCATGGTTGTTCATAACAATTAAATGTTTCCGATCTAGGCTTGGCTGAGCAAAACGAACAAAGTGTTCCAAAAACTTCAGAAAACCAGAGCAAGTCATCCATCCACTGGGATATGTTGTTGCATTGCTGGCAGGAGGTGCATGGCTTAGAAACCGGTCCTGCAAGTTTTTTTCTGGGAAATATCATGTAAGGAGGCATGTGACCCCCTGACCCGAACTGCCTAGCGGATGTTTGTAGCTTCCTCAATTTCAACCTCACCAACGCCTGGAGAAGACAATGGGAGAGCGACTCAATGAGGAAGGACACCAAATGGCCTGTATCGATCCGAAACCGCCAGTCTTTGAGCTGACCCGCAATACATGAACAACGCTAAACAGATTAAGAACAAGCAGCGGTAGTTGTGCTGACAGGTTATATAGATGGGAAAAGCGCTTACTCCTGAGTATGACTGGTATGCAACGACAGACCGTGCGTCACATTGTTGAATGCCCCCGAAGGCGATTCTCCGAAGTTTTCGATGAGTTCCTGAACGCGACCGAAAATGTTTTACATTATATTAATGATACAATGTTCGTTTGTAATACTTCATTAGAGAAAATTTGTTCAATCATTATTAGATTTTTTAATTCTGGAAAATCCAATTCGAAAATCGCGAATATGTTGCAATTGTCACGATATAGTGTAAGAAATATAGTCAGAAGATACATAACTACAAGTTCGGTCGTCACAAGATCTAGAAATGTACGAAAAAGTAAAATAACCAAAGCAAATCTAAGGGCATTAAGACGGATTATAGTGAAAAATCGACGAGCAAGTTAAATGGAGTTAAGCGTTTTAATGGGTGTGACGTTATTGGAAAATACGTTTCTAGATTAACATGTCACCGAGAGGCATGCACTGTAGACTATACCTTTTTCCATAATAATTGGATTAACAAAGGTGAAACAGATAGATTGACAACTCTTTAATCCATCGTTTGCAATAAATTGATGTGTTCCAGAAGGATTTGAACACGGCATAAATGTGATTATATCTTTACTCACTTTAAGACCTGGTGCGATCGCTTCTTTAATAGATACTAGGGTTTTATTGTGTAGCAGTCTCCAAAACAGGCAACTCTCATCTGAAATATGGATTTGTCCAGAAAGAAGACTCAGTTCTTCTATTTTGTCTTTAAAATGATGGGAAAATAGCTCCGGTGCAGATTCGTCGCTTGTCATTTTTTCACCCGACAGACGGATAACCAATCGTTTTTAGATTTATCCAACCACATAACACTGGCACGAAAATCATCGTTCTTAGTCATTAAAAAAAATCAATTGCTTTTTCTGTTAAAGTTTTTTCAAACAGAGAAATGTATTTAGAACGCTCTTACGTGAACCAAATGTGAGAACGTTTTTCATCTTTGGATATTTTCCAACACTTAATGTTGTTATTACCATAAACAAATTATACTTTCCATATTTTTCCAATATGGCATTTAATTAATATTTATTAAAAACATTACCCTTATGGTTTTTTATTTGTTTTCAACAATAAAAAAATTTCACATACCTTGGCTATGGTTCACTTATGTCAGCTTACATAGATTTTTTCATAATTACGTTAAATCCAGAGGTAGCTATGGAAAACTGATATCAAAATATAATTAAAACAATAATATTGTCAGTTAATGTCAAATGTATTTTGAAGTAGGTATTGTAAAGCTTTGTGGATTGTAAAATGGATCGAGGTAAAGTTATCGACAAAAAAAAATGTTCAATCATTATTAGATTTTTTAATTCTGGAAAATCCAATTCGGAAATCGCGAATATATTGCAATTGTCACGCTATAGTCTAAGAAATATAGTCAGAAGATACAAAACTAGAAGTTCGGCCGTCACAAGACCTAGAAATGTACGAAAAAGTAAAATAACCGAAGCAGATCTAAGGGCATTAAGACGGATTATAGTAAAAAATCGACGAGCAAGTTATATGGAGCTAAGCGTTTTATGGGGCGACGTTATTAGAAAACAAGTTTGTAGATCAACATTTCACCGAGAGGCCCACAAATTAGAATTTGGTACTTACAAAGTAAATTTTATAGTTGAAAAAATTAATACGAATTGTTTTTAATAAATTTTATTTTGTTTTAGGCTAAGGAAAATATACTTTTAACATTACAACAAAAGAAAAATAGACCAAGATGGTCAAAAGAGCATAAATATTGGACTCACATGATTGATACAATGGCATGTTGAGTCCAGATTTGAAGTGTGTGTGTGTGTGAAGTAAAGTGAGTAAAAAATTAAGCCTTCCATCCCGACTGTCTGAAGGAAAAAGTCAAATTTCCTGATCTGTCATGATCTGGGGCAGCCTATCGTCTAAAGGTGTGGGAAAGTTACATTTTATCGATTGGATTGTACTTAAACACGGACAAATATTTGAATATTTTCGAAGAATCTCTTTTGCCGATTATGGAACACCGTTTAACATCAGCGGAAGATTTTGTCTTTCAACAGGATGTCGCATGTTATTATACCTCAAAAAAGAGTTTAAAATGGATTAAAGACCATGGCATACCACTTGGGATGGGTTTTTAACAGTCCCGACTTGTGCTCGATAGAGACTTTGTGGCGCGGAATGAAAAAAGCTTTGAGAAAACATCCTGCCACGTCCGTCAACGAATTGAAAGAAAAATTGCAAGAAATATGGAATATGTTTACATCAGAATTTTGTCAGAACTTCGAAAAACTATGCCTCGAAGAATTGTAGATGTCACTAAAAATCAAGGGGATGTAACTTCTTTTGGTTAATATTACATACATATTCTATGCGTTTTTTTAATTGATTATTATTATGTTTAATTAATAGTTTTCATTACGTTATAAAATATTTTCTATAATAAGGAAATTAAAAAATGTTGTTCGATGT